CTAAATTAAAAACCAACGGTAGCGGGGCGCTGTGGGACAGGCCTGAAATCCCTGCAACTCTGGAGGCTGAGACTGTAGGATCGCAACTTCAAGGCCAGCCTCAGCAATTCGAGACCACTGGCAAAAAGGACTGGGGTTGTAACCTAGTGGTAAAGCGCCCCTATGTTCTATCCCAGGTACCAAGGGGGGGGGGGACAACACAAACTCCCCCAAATAAGGGGAAGGGGTAGCCCTCACCTGAAATCCCAACTACTAATTGAAGCAATTGGGTCTCAAGTTCCAAAATAATTTTTAAAGAATGGGGATGTTCTTCAGCCATAGAGCCCCCTTCTGTTCAATCCCCAGTACAAAACCCCAACAGCATGGTAAAGGCAAAGCCATATCTGTCCTTGGCTTCCTCACAGGCACAGGCGGGGGAGGAGGTGATCAATAAATTTTTATATTTCTTTTTTCCCCACTCCAGTACTGGGGATTAAACTCAGGGGCACTCTACCACTGAGTTATGTCGGTAGCTATTTGCCGGGTTCTGTTCTCCAGACTAAAAGGCTCAGGGGTCACTCTAGTTAAACTGGGCTAACTGGGCTCCGCAAAAATAACCACACAAGAGACACAAATACCTTTTTCTTTGGGGTCGCTGTGACAGCTCCTCTGACCTTAAGGGTCTGCAGGAAGAGAGAGAGCAGGAGAGCCTGGGCTGACCCCTTTTATTGAGGAGAAGCTATTCAAATGAGGCAAGGGGTCAAGTGTCAGGGGGCCGAGTTTATCTTCATGATGTCCACTGTCAGCAGGTTGATTGACACCTGGGTAGGCCACACCCAAGGGCATAGTAAGAGAAGGGGACTCACACAAGGCACTTCCATGGAAGATTCTATCCTAAACAGGGCAAGGGGTTATATTACAAAGGAACAGGTGAGCATAGTTTCACCCAGGGGGCTTTAGCAAGACACACCCATGCAGGAGACACTGACCCTTGGACCCAAGAAGGGTGGGGAAAGCTCTGCCACATTTCTGCAGCTGAGCCTCTTAGCACCCAGCCAGGGAGTATGACTCAGTCATGTGTAAGGTTGGTCTCCCACAGCTATTTATTTATTTATTGGGTCTCCCTAAATTTCCCAGACTGGTCTCAAATTTGTGATTCCTCCTGCCATAGCCTCCAAAGTCTCTGGAATTATACATATGCACCACCACGCTCATCAATAAACAATTATAATTTGATAAATGGAAGAAACTAAAAAAAATTTAAGTATACAGATTACATGTGTACACTGAAAACTCAAGTTCATGAAGACTACAAAATGAAGTGTTTCAATATTCAGGGTTAATGATATCTATCTTTATTTATTTATTTTTTTGACATATCATCCCAGGACACTACTTACCATATAGTAGCAGTCAACGAACATTTTGTTTACTGAAAAAATGTGCACATATCTTTTAGAACACTTATGATACCATAATGTAATTTTGTACCTTTTCTTTTTCAGCTAAGATAGCTTGGGGATCTTTCCATATCTACTTATTATAGCTAATGGTATTCTGTTGTATGGGTATACCATAACTTATCCCTATTGATGTCTGTGTAGGTTAAATTTTCTCTTTATAAGCAATGGTGTAAGGAATGTCATTCAATAGCTTTACTTTCTCATATATACTCATATTTATTGGGTGGTACTACATATTGAAACTGATCAAAGGGCATATATATTTACTTTTTGATAGTTCTCTATTTAATTTTTTAAGAATCTTTTTTATAAAATATATTTTTTAAATTGTAGATGGACACAATACCTTTATTTTATTTATTTAATTTTATTTACTTATGTGGTGCTGATGTTCAAACCCAGTGTCTCTGAGCTATGTGTACACTGAAAACTCAAGATTTATTGGATCTTCAGGGTCATGCCTCTGAGACTCCACTACCAAACCAACATGTAAAAGGATGTTTAATCCAATAGTAAAAACATAAAATACCACTTAAAAACAGGCCCTTTAATTATCCATTAACCTACTGAAAACCACCTTGCTTTCTTTTAAGTTTTGGCAATTCTGTGCGCAGGTTTTTGTGTGGACACCAGTTTTTAACTCCTTTGAGTCACCAAGGAGGGTGATCATGTCACAGAAGAAGAGATAAATCTAAAGAAGTGTTTGAGGAGTTCCGGAAGAAAAAGGGGGAAGTGACTTAGGACCAGTGGAGTTCATGGAATACATGATGAAAAAGAATTTCAGCATGTGCTAGTCAGAGGCACAGAGGTTTATTTATGGAAGCAGCTACATATTCAAGGGAGAATTAGTGACCTATGGGATTAAGCAAGGAATACATATTCAAGGGAGAATGTGGGCCATATCAAGAGTGAGAGATATGTTTTGGGGGTTGCAAGCTCTTCTTTTAAAGGAAACTTGGGGAGGCATGGGTATGGAATGAAATGAATTTTCAGGGGTTGTAGTTCAGTGGTACAGTGCTTGCCTAGCACATGTGAGACACTGGGTTTGATCCTCAGCATATGTGTATATGCAACTAAAAATTTTTTTTAATGGAATTTTCAGCCTCTTCTGCTTCAGTATTACAGCAGTCTCCGCCATCTGTGACTTCTTTCTGGATTATTGTCAGAAACAGAAGATGAGACTAAAAGGAGTATGATTTATTTAAGTGAGAACAAAGGAAGCAGAGTTCTCTTGCTGGGCAAGAAGCTACCTGATAGCAGGTTACCAATTAAGTTTACTGATTTGTAAGGGTTTATATAGCTACTGGGTAGGAGCAGTGATCAATATCCAAGCTAATTGGATATTGGAAAGGTGCCAAGGCTATTGGTTCAGCCTGAAATACTGATTGGTTAGCTCTTGAATCTGTAGCTTTTACTCAGGTCTGTCCCCTGACCCTCAGCCCAGGACAAAGCAGTTGGTTGGAAAGTTTGTACAGGATAATTTCATGGAGAAGCCTCTTTTGGGGGGCATTTTCTTAAGTGTCTATTTGTTTTACTATCTATCTATCTTATCTTAATCAGAAAGCTATGTAGGAATCAGTCCAGCAATCTCAAGATGGTTTCTGGTGATCTGCTCAATCTCAGGATCCTCACTAACAAGATCTTCATTATCTTATCAGTAGATAGCACTGTAAAGTTCCCCAAATTTTGGGATCCTCATGATATCATATCTTTCTTTGCTTAATCCATTTATTGGGGTGTTAATTAACAGTGCAGAGGTAGATTTACAGGAATTTGGGAGTAACAGACCTGGAAGAGACACAGACCTGGAAAAGTGTGTAGAACTTCTGAAGTCAAATTTAATTTCCTTGTCCTTCCTGTAGGTCTCCTTTCTACTTTTTATTCCTCCTATCCTAAATCAATCATATGGTAAAACCATGTTTACTTTTGTCAGACCCTGTGGATTATTGAGACTCCTTGAAGTCAGGTCCCCTACCCTTTGGCCTAGGATACCAATAACATCTCTTGGAACCCCCAAAACACATCTCTCACTCTTGATATGGCCCACATTCTCCCTTGAATATGTATTCCTTGCTTAATCCCATAGGTCACTAATTCTCCCTTGAATATGTATCTGCTTACCTAAATAAACTTATATGAAACTATAATGGTGGAAATGATACTGGAGATGGGGACTTTTGATTTGATGATGGCCCAAACTGAATATTAGTCAAAGTAAGCACAAATATACAGACAAAGCTTTAATCAGGAAAATAAAAGGAGGAGGGGGACTTTCAGGGGACAGCTCTGATTGAGAAAAGTCAAAACTTCCCAGTAATATTTATTTATCTATCTATCTATTTATCTATTTATTTATTTATTGGTACTGGGGATTGAATCCAGGGATACTTTACCACTGAGTTATATTCCCTGCTTTTTATTTTGAGACAGTCTTGCTAAGTTAGGGCCTAAGTTGCTGAGGCTGGCTTGCCATCCTCCTGCCTCAGCCTCCCAAATTGCTGGGATTACAGTTGTATGCCATTGTGCTTGGCTTAGTTGCTTTCTCATAATACTCTATGTACTTTTCTTCTTTAACTGAACAGAATCAAATAGATTTAAACTATAACAGGGAGCTAAATTTTTAGTTACTGATCTCAGCATAGCATTTAAAAATATTAGGGGAGGGGACTAAGGATGTAGCTAGGGAACTAGGATGTAGAGGGCTTGCCTAGTATCTGAGGCCCTGAGTTCAATCCCCAGCATCACAAAGAAAAAATTGTAATTGGGGGAAATACAACTGATTTTTCATGAAATTTTTGTGTTCCAAAAAGTTACAGCTGCTTCCCCTATTTGGTCTTACTCCAGAAAATGGTATTAACTGTTGCTTCTGGTCAGCTTGCACTCAGTAATATTGAATGGAAAGAAATAGGAAGTGGCCCAAAGACTGCTAAGTGCCTATTCTGACATTCATTCCTTTGTTCTTAATGAAAGAAACCTAACATTCAGTAAGCACTCTGCAGAAAAGAATAAAATACCCTTTTCTGCTTTCTTTCCTCAAAGTTTTGATCAAGACATATGTGCTAAGCAATTTTGGGAATGACTGTTCAAAGGAAGCTGACTAAATTGACAGAAGCCTCTTTTTATTCTTTTTGTCTTTTGTCCACATTTTAGATGTGATGGCCAGAGCTTGAACAACCACAGAGAGATGAAACAAGGACCTTAAATACTGATGACATGGATCAGGATGGTAGAATCAAAAGGCAGAAATCTAGGACCCTAGTGATACTGTGGAAATACTTTTTCAATACTGGACTCTTCTCTATTAAATAGAAAAACTTTTAATAACTCACTACTGTGACTACTATTTGTGTGTGTTGTGTGTGTGTGTGTGTTTTTAAGCTATGTAGCCGAACCTAGTTGTTGTTTTTTTTTGGGGGGGGTACTAGGGATTGAACTCAGGGGCATTGGACCATTGAGCCATATCCCCAGTCCCATTTTGTATTTTATTTAGAGACAGGGTCTCACTGAATTGCTTAGTGCCTTGCTTTTGCTGAGGCTGGCTTTGAACTTGCAATTCTTCTGCCTCAGCCTCCTGAGTGGCTGAGATTACAGGTGTGCACCACCATGCCTAGCTGAACCTAGATTTAACCATAATTACACTGATGGCTTTTAGAGTGACTGGCTTCTCTGATAGTGAGTGAACAGAAGGACCCGACTAAAGTTTTTTTATATTCTTTGCACTCACAAGGTTCCTCTTGACTGAATTGTCTGGTGTTAACAATTGTCTGATAAGAGCTGAGCCTAAAGTTCTTTCCACAATGGATATATTAGTGGACATTGCATTGTGAGGATTCACTAATTTTCCCACACTGGTGAACTAAGACAGCTTCTCCAAAGAGCAGTACCTTATGCAGCTACTACTGACCGGTTAGTGATGCTATTATTATGCTTGGGAATGGACTACTCTAAGCTTAAGATTCTTTATCATTATCATGAAACTTCATTATTCATGATATAAAGATCATAATCTTCTCTCCAAGATGATTTTATTATTTGACTTTCAAAGAATTCCAAAACAAGCAACATTTAAAAACTGCATCATCAATATTAAAGGGAATAAGTCTAATATCTTTCGGTGGATATTTATTGAATAGTATATATGCAGTAGTTACTGTACTGGCACTGGAGTTACCAAGTAAGACAGTTGCTATTTGGATTAATTCAGTACAGTTCAAAATGATGTGATATCTCTTCCACAGATTGTAAAACTTTGATTAATATCTTGAATTAATGAGATATTGGGGTGGGGATGGAAAATGTAAAAATGAAATGACATAATTCTGAAGGCAAGTTCTACTATTAACCAGGAAAGGATCATCCTTGCTTTCCAAAATGCTTCCTCTGTGCATGGGGGGTAGAGTTGGAGGGATAAAGGTAAGGCTAGTGGGAGGGAGGGGTAGAGCCTGTTAGGGAAAAGTATTCACTATTAACCCATACTTTAAGACAACTTTGAGAGTGGTATACTTCCAAACATCATGAGTTTTATAGGAGTCTGTTGCTATATCATTTGCAAAAAATATCAACCTGCCCCTGACTGACACAAGTCTAATGAATCAGTGGACATTATATTTGCTGATAATTTCAAAGACCTCACTTAGTCATGAGGCTATTTCTTGGAGATCCATAATAATTCATTAACACATTAAAAATTCTGAGAAGTCTTATAGTAAAGAATGCTATTTAACTCTGATCTCACTATACTGTCTAGGGTGAAATTATTTGGCTCCAAAACTAACTTCAAGGAAAGCAAAGGACAGAGAATGGAGGCAAACAGCTTCCAACACAATCCCTAAGAATTCTGATGTTGGCCAGAATAACTTTTCCTAAAGTGCTGTTTGCTTCTCAATGTATACTTTCTGATGTTCTACAGGAAGAGAACACCTCATCAAGCCATTTTGCCTTTGTGGTGATGTCTCTGATGCTGAAAGAGACCTGACTTCTGTCTGAAGGCTTCCCCACATTCATTACACTCATAGGGCTTTTCTTCGTTGTGGATTCTTATGTGCTGATTGAGGTGTGAGTTAAGTCGGAATGCTTTCTGGCACACATTACACTTGAAAGGTTTTTCTCCAGTGTGAATCCTATGATGTCGAATAAGGTCTGAGGTCAAACTGAAGGTTTTCCCACACTCATTACACTGATGGCTTTTGGAATGACTGTGGATTCTCTGATGGTGGGTGAGGAGCAAGGCCTGACTAAATGTTTTTCCACACTCCTTGCATTCACAAGGTTCCTCCTGACTATGAATTCTCTGGTGTCGATTAAGGTGAGAGCTACGCCTAAAGTTCTTTCCACAATGGATACATAGATAAGGTTTCTCTCCAGTATGGATTCTGAGATGTTCCAAAAGGCCTGCATTCTGGCTGAAGACTTTTCCACACTCTTTGCACTGATATGGCTTCTCACCAAGATGAATTTTCTGATGTCTGACAAGATGTGAGCTTCTCTGAAAGACTTTCCCACATTCATGGCACTGATGACCTTTCTCTCTAGAAAGAATTTTCTGATGTCCAGTAAGAGTAGAACTCTGACAACCTTCAGATTCACTGAGCTTTTCTCCCATGGGTACAAGTCCATGTTCAATCAGGTCTGAATGCTGGATAATTCCCTCCCTACATTCTCAGCATTTATAGTCAGTCTTCTCCTTGGGCTTAGCCTGCTCCCTTYCCAAATCAGAGTCTTCATAAAGAGCTTCTATAGGTTCAGAAATTTTCCTAGATGATTCCACTTTTCCACAAGAGTTGGTCACTAAAACAAGATTCCCGTTCTTAATCCTTGTCTCTTTACCTGAAACATTAAATATATATCACTAATTACCTGTTTTTCGGTGCTTGGGAAAAGGAATCTGCAACTAGGAGAAAAAAAATGAAATCAAGCCATGTGTGCAAAGTAAAAATGCTGTGGTTGCTTGTGTTTGTATAAAGTACATAGAATGATATATAAGAAATTGTTAATAGTGACCTTCAGGGAAGGATAGAGGGTTGCAGTGAAGGATGACTTCTTTTCAATGGTTTAAGTTTTATCATGTGATACACACCACACACAGAGAAGCTAGAAAACAAGCAAATAATTGTTTTTGACTGTACAGTCTTGAAAATGTTTCATTACATGGGGGGGGGGGACTAGCTCAATTGCAGTTCCTCAGGCCAATAAGAAAGGGATGGCACTTTAAGTGAAAATGAAGAAATGTAGATGTGATGCCAACTAGCTACACAATTTTATAAAGTAATTTAAGTCCTCTGGGCTCAGTATCCTTATCAATAAATCAAAAACCATTGAACCATAAAAACTTGAGGGCAATGTGTTCATGAAAATCCTAATCTTCTTGGACAGCAGTAACTGGTTTCTTATATAAGTTCAACAGACTTTTTATATCTCATATGACTTTTTATAATTTCATATGACTATTTCCTCCACCCCAACCCCAATAGTTCAAGAGACTAGCACAGTGCCTGGTACATAGCAGACACTAAACAAGTGGTTTTTTTTTTTAAGAAAAATGTTTTATGAATATAGATTTGAGTCGTAAGGGTGAAATTATGTGAAGATGAAAGAAAACCTATGTTCAAACACACAGGCAGAAGGATGTGAAGGATGACGGACGGGAAAATGGCTTTTAAGGCCTGAAATATGAATAGACACGCAAAGTAAGAATGGGGTAATGGATAGACAAAATAGAAGAGTGAGACCCTAAGCGGCTCTAAAAAACACCTGAAGGTTAATCAGTGTGATCAAATGAAAGGCAGCAGATATTAACAAGTAGAGAAGAGATGGGAGCCAAAAGTAAAAGTGAACATGAAAGGATTAGTAAGAAGGCATCAGAGAAAGTAGTCACATGTGAGGAGTAGAGATATTAAATAATATAATAAATAATGGACTACACTGTGGATTAAAGCTCTTTTTAATAGAATGAAGTAATCTACACAGGATGAAGAAGTGAAAGACTAAGAGAAGGAAGGGAAGGAAACAGAAGAGATTCTTTTTCAACAATAACATGATATGTATAACTAAAAGGAAGGAGGGGGATTAAAACAAAAAATAACCGGAACTTTGAATATAAAATAACATTTCAACAGATCCAGAGGGTAAGGAACATTCTCAGGAATTTATTATCATTACATTCACTTTTTGTTTTAAAATATATACCTGTCATTGTTTATCATTTCTTCAAAGTCATTCAGAAAATGGTAGGCCCCTTTCTTTCAGCTAATTTACTCAGGAGACTCTCAGAAGAAAGGGATTTGAAGCAGACTCAAACTGAAAAGTCTAGTGGGCAATAAGTAAAGGATGACTTTAGAAATAAAATCAGCCAAGCTGGGGCTATAGCTCAGTGTTAGAGTGCCTGCCTAGCACGCATGAGGCACTGGGTTCAATCTTCAGTACCACATTAAAAAAAAAAAAAAAAGGTATTGTGTCCATCTACAACTAAAAAAAAAAAAATTAAAAAGAAAGAAAGAAAGAAAATCAGTCATTCAGCAATAGACATTTATTGAGTGTCTACTCAAGGATGGTGACTCAAAGAAAAACAAAACAAACAAAACAAAATACCACAAATAAAGTCCCTGCCCTTTTAGTCTGGCAAGAAAAAAAAAAAAGAAGTAGACCAGAAACTATAATGGAATATCATCTATTCTACGACATGAGAAACCTTGCTGCTCTGGAAGCATAACTAACCCAGACTTGGGGAAGTGATATCTAAGATATATCTTGAAGGATGAGTAGGAAGTAGTCAGGGAGAGCAGGAAAAAAATTGTTCCAGATAAAAGAAACAAGGCAAAAAAGGTTCAAAAGAGAGAAACCGAAAGGAGAAAGTAGGAAATGGAACATTGCCTGGCATGATAGAAAAATACAATATGAGTAGGTGGGACAAAAGGCAACTAATTGTCCCAATTTAGGACTGAGGGATTTCTTAGGATGTGTAACTGTCACTAAAAGTCGCAAAAAAACTGGGACAAACTGGTTATTCTAGTGAACATAAGACTGATAACAGGCCATGTGAGGCCTTTGTTAATGAAACTGGGAGTTAAGGTAGTGATTTTTATCTTATTTTAATTTTTTATTATAAAATTTTATAGAAAAATTATATTATTCAGCTTATTAAAAGGTTTTTAAGCCAGGCATGGTGGCACACAATGGTAATCCCAGCAATTTGGGAGGCTAAGGTGGGAGGACTGCAAGTTTGAGACCAGCCTGAGTAACTTAGCAAGACACTGTCTCAAAATAAAAAATAAAAAGGTTTGGGGATATAGCTCACTGGTAGAGTACCCCTGGTTCAATTCTAAGTACCATATATACAGACAAAGRTTTTAAGGAAAAGAGAAACATTAATGAATTTGTATTCAAATAATAAAGTATGAGCAGAAGGTAGTTTCAATGGAAGGGAGGAACAGAGAGAGAAAGAAGCAGGGATTATATCAGACTAAAAAGAAGAAAAGAAAAATGTAAGAAACAGAAAAAGAGGGATTTTAGTAACAAAGAAATTAAGAGTAGAATAGAAAAATCCAGGTGACATTAAGAAATAAAAGATAATTGCTATTTGGGCTGGGGTTAGAGCACTTGCCTAGCATGTATGAGGCACTGGGTTCGATTCTCAGCACTGCATATAAAAAAAATAAAATAAAGGTCCATTGACAGTAAAAAAGTATTAAAAAAAAGACAGTTGCTATTTACAATAATTTGAAGGAGATAAGAAAAAATGAGTTGGGTGTAGTGGTGCAAGCCTATAATCCCAGAAACAAAGGAGGCTGAGGAAGGAGGATTGCAAATTTGAAGCCACCCTCAGAAATTTAGCAAGATCCTCAACAACTGTCTCAAAAAAAAAAAAAAAAAAAAAAAAAAAAACCCTGGGGAGCTCAGTGGTAGAACATCCCTGGGATCAATCCTCAAATAGTAGCAAAAGAAAGGGAGAAAAAAAGTAATGAAACATGTGGCCGAGATTCTCTGCCTTCAGTGGAAAACTGTACTACTTTTAAAATTCATTCCTATAGTAAAAGGGAAGAAGAGCAAGATAAAGGTCCAGATTCACCTTTTGGGGTGTTTTATTCAACTAAAATGCCTAGAGTGATGCGTATTTTTTATATCTTGATTGTGGTGCTGATTAGAAGACTATACTTTTCTCATGTTTGTGAAAACTCACTGATTGGTAGAGTTACAATGAATTCTACTGATGTAAGTTATACCTCAATAAATCTAACTCAAAAACAAAACACAAAACACCAAGGTTGGGGCTGGGGTTGTGGCTCATCAGAAGAGCGCTCACCTAGCACATGAGAGGCAATGGGTTCGATCCTAAGCACCACATAAAAATAAATAAATAAATAAAATAAAGGTTTTAAACAAAAACAAACAAAACACCAACGTTGCTCGTAGGGCCTCAAAGGGAAGTACACAGCCTCTCTCACCTCATAAGCAAAAACATGCAATTTAGTTCTTACCCTTCTCTTTCTCAGGTTTTTGAATGTCACACTTGGATAGGACCAGCCGTTCTTGCCCTCTTTTCAGAGGGGCTGCTTCTTCCACAAACATTTTTTATTTCTTTGCCTGGTTTGGGTTTTACAGATAATTAGGTACATGTAGAGATAATTAAGTACATGTAGATTTAGGAAACTTGTTGCAAAAACACTTCAAAGATAGAAAAAAGAAACCCCAAAGTGGCAAAGAAAATGGGAGGGAAATCTAGAGCACATTCAGTTTCCTTCCAGTAGGGATCAAGTAAGGCTGATGTTAAGACCTATAAAGATGAATACCCAGACAGGAAAGAAACTGAACTGTGCTCACGCCCAGCTGTCTGGGGAGAGGCTTAATTCTTGTTTTCCTGCAAAAGAGCACATCTGATTTCTATCTCCTCTTGTCCTGTTTCTCCATACTCCTGCTACAAATGCTCCAGTACAACAACCAAGTCCTCCCTACTCTCTGGGCAATGGTCCTGCACTCAGTCCTGGGACTCCTTGAGCAGGATGGCTGGGAATTGCTGGAGCACCAGCAGCTCCAGGGTCTCTTCTTCGTCTCAGGCTCAGCCACTATTGGCAGATCTTGCAGAGATGGCTCAAAGTCTCTCAAGTTCTGTGATTTCTTCATTGCACAACTGTCTGAATTATTTGTAAATGGCTCTGTCCAAGGCCTTTCCTATTTCCTTACAGCTTGAATCCTTGTTTTCAAGTAGAGTACTTGTAACAGGGACTTAAAGGCTGCTTTTGCTAAAAGTATTGACTCTTCACTTGCTCCTACAGCTATTTCCTTTGCTACCTTAAACTTTAGGTCAGATTTCTGCTCAACTCTGCATATAGACATGTTAATAAGAAGTGTCTTTTTAAATATTGGTAATGTAATATTCATTAACTCTACATTTACTCAACCTCTCTTATTTCAACCTTTCAAGCCTTAAGATATTTTCAAGAATTTTAGGATCTGCAGGCAGATCACCCCATGATGGAATCAAGGATGCTCCACTACATGGGAACAATTGTGTCATCATGGAAACCAAATTGCCTCCTCAAGTAATAACTATTTCCCTAGAGCCAGCAGGACCTCGAAGAACCAGATCTGATATAATGGTCAACCAGACTACACTTTGATTAAGACTTCTTGCTACCACTTTTTGTCTTTCTCCTATATATTCCTGAAGCTCTTGTCAGAACCCAGAAGACAAGGTTTAGGATGCTCATCTGCTTGTTTTTTCTCAGTGTAACCATACTGATTAATAAGTTTCTTTCTTGCTTCATCACCAGTTTTTCTCTTTGATTGTATTCTTGAGACACTGGGTATCTGCATCTGGTCTACTGGGGCCCAGAGAATCTAGGACTCTGGTAACATATCAATCCTCCTTCATTACCCAAAGTTTCTTCTTCTTCAGATTCAGAGGAGAAATGGAATGAGCACTCACCAATGCAGTTGCCATCCCCAATTTCAGACTGCTCTGTTTTGGAGAACTTTCTTTTGACTGTATTCTCAGGAGTACTCCTAAGAATATAATAACAAGAATCACAGAAGTAGTAATGTTAGTAGTAACAATAATAACAATAGCAATTCTTCTTGGATTTATAAGCTTTCTACTATTTATTTGTTTTTTTTTCCTAAAGTAACCATTCCTAAGCACATAAATAAAATGAGAAAACATTGTTTTAGAGAAGATTGCCATCTAACATGGCAGAAATAATAGATTTGAAAATCACCATTTTTGCAGCCCTCAAAATGAATTATTCAGTCAAGGACTACTAAAACCACTGGGTGAAAGGAGTGTGACAATAGACATTCTCAGTCTCAAAAAAAAAAAAAAAAAAAAACCCAAACCAATGTAACTAAGTATAGTTACAAAGGAGAAAATGGAGATATTTGGCAGTCACAAATTTACCTAATGATCAAACTTAGCAACAACAATAGTGCTTTATCATCTATACAGCATTTCTACTAAAAATGTTTACCATGAATCTAATAATGAACACTTCGAGATAAATCCAGACTGCAGCTCATTTATAACAGGCATGGGATCAAAAATAAAAGGAAGGTATTGGGAGGTTATTCTACATTAAGGAGAGCACTAAATGCAATGTGTGAAATAATAATTTTAAAAAGCTACAAATTTTTTTTTGAAAAATTCAGAAGTCTGGGCTGGGGATGTGGCTCAAGCGGTAGCGCGCTCGCCTGGCATGTGTGCGGCCCGGGTTCGATTCTCAGCACCACATACAAAGATGTTGTGTCCGCCGATAACTAAAAAATAAATATTAAAAAAATTCTCTCTCTCTCTCTCTCTAAAAAAAAAAAAAGAAAAATTCAGAAGTCCAAATGTGAATGAAAGATTAGAATGGGGTAGGCAAACTATAGCCCAGAAAACCAAGTAAAGCCTGGACCTTATTACCTTATTTTGGATTCCTTTATTATAATACTGCTACATCCATTTGTTTAGATATTGTTTACATCTGCTTTCCCAATACAATGGCAGAGTTGAGCAGCTGCCACAAAGGGTATCACCTGTAAAGCTGAAAATGTTTACTATCTAATCCTTTATAAACAATGGTTATGCCCAATTTTTATTTATTTATTTGCAAGTGCTGGGGATCAAAGGGATCAAAGTCAGGCCCTAGCACATGGTAGGTAAGTGCTCTACTGTTGAGCTACATCCCCAGCTAGATAATGGTTATTAACCCCTGACACAGAACTTTCTTAGCTGGTATGACAGTTCATGGTCACAAAAAACAATAGTCTTATTAGCAGAAAGTGAATGCTGAAACTTTCAAATGTGTGTGTGTAAAGAGTAAGAACACACAAATGTAATAGGAAATTGACAACTGCTGGTACACAAAGACATTACATGTATTATTCTTTCAGTATTTCTGAAGGATTTGAAAATTCTCAAAATGATGAGAGAGAGCCAAGTGTGGTGGCTCTGTAATCCCAATGACTTGGAAGTCCAAGGTAGAAGACTGAAAGTTCAAGGACACTCTCAGCAATTTGGTGGGGCCCTCCGCAACTTAGCAAGATCTTGTCTCAAAATAACAAGTAAAAAAATGGGCTTGATAAAAGATACAGAAAAAATAAGTAGGGATTGGGGCTGTAGCTCAGTGGTAGAGTGCTTGCCTCACACACGTGAGGGACTGGGTTCGATCCTCAGCACCACATAAAAATAAATAAACAAAGGTAGTGTGTCCGTCTACAACTAAAAAATATTTTAAAGTAAATAAAT